GCTCCTTTCTCTGGGACATTGACCACCTGGAAAAGAACAGTGTACTGGTCAGAAAAAATGAACCCAGTTCAAAATATGGAAAATAAAAATTTATTCGTCTGTTTCGACTGTATTACTTTCTCTTACTTTCAGATCAATATATAATGAAAAAAAATAATCCTAAAAATTGTTGACGAGGAAAAGTAGCCACACTAAACGGTTTTATTTTGGTAAATCATAGCGTCCATTGCAGAATCTTCATACAACTCTACTTATCTCATGGGAAGAACAGCAAAACTTATATCGATGTAAGTAGGGACACAATGTGTAGACCAATAATTCTTAGTTGCCTCAGAATATAGAAATGTAGTAAAATGCAAAGTTGCAGTTTTTTAGAAGGTAAAAGTAAAGCAAAGTACTTACAGTGCCCTCGAGCATTTTCAACAATGCTTGTTGGACACCTTCTCCCGACACATCTCTACTTATGTTGAGGCTCTCGGACTGCAGATATTGCATGGAATGAATTTGATTATTAACATAAATGATTTTTTAAGACACTAACTATAAATGCTAACATATATTTTATTTACAGAAGTATGTTGAGAATACCTTTTTCGTGATCTTGTCAACTTCATCAATATAGACTATGCCTTGCTGTGCAGCTGCAACATTATAGTCAGCAACCTGAAATAAAATAAGACCAGAATCACTAACTGGAATATATATGTAAAACATATTTCGCCTACATAGCCTTACTATGAAACTGGAAATCATCATGAAAAAATGTCACAATTTTTCGCCAATGAAAGATTTGGACAAAACAAATTAATCCTGCAGATGGAGAATATATCAACTTTTCAATTATTTTTTCTATGAGTCAGACATTTACCTGGCTGTCATGCACCAGGCAATTTTAGCAAAAATATGAAAAATTCGAATACAGATTTCTCATGTAATCAGTAAAAGACAAAATTCAGACCAGAAAATATTGATCCCTGCAAATTTTAGAACCTAACTTGTCCTTTAATCTGTAGGATAATAAGAAAGCAAAATAAAAATATCGAACAGGGGTATAAAATTGCTTTAAAAAGCCAATAACCAATGAGAAAATCAAGAAGCAGGAGACCATATAATAAGCAAGCAGAAAGGATATAAAGATATCAAAGACCTCCCCCGACCCAGAAAAATAACGAAATGATAAAACAGCAAAGAGAATTGTGGGCAATAAAAACACAGTTGACAGGATCTTAACGGGGTAAGTTCACCTCAATAAAAACTAATCCAGTTACATCGAGTAAAGAGCATACCGTAAGTAGCTTATATAAAATGGACTCCACATCTTCCCCAACATATCCTGCCTGCCAACAAGAAACTTCTTTATCAGAACAGAAACAAAGTATATATTCATCTATTTCAGGAAGTTCGTGTTGACATAAAACTTGCTGAAATGTTATCAAATTGTCAGGTGATTATGTGCCTCAAATTGCATAGAGAACCCTTATTTAGCGAATCTGCAAAGCTGAGAAAACCTTGCTCGCAAAAATTTGTAATAATGATGTCATGAAAATCAAATCACAGGGATACTATGATAGGGCCATTAATTGAAAAATGCACAGCATAATGCTATAGTTTGTTCATAGGAAAATCAGAAAGCATCCTCCTCCATCAAATAGAAGGATAAATAAACAACATGCCTGAGTAAGTGTAGTAGCATCCGCAATTACAAAGGGAACATTCACCAGCCGCGCCAAAGTTTTAGCAAGTAGCGTTTTCCCTGTCCTCGAAATAACGTTCAAAGAAGACAAGTGAAAAAGTAACATTGGAAGAGTGGAGACACATAGAAATCAGTAAATAACAGATGATAACTCCTCCTTTTGACAAGTCATGCACTCAATCTGTAGTCTTAAATATCACCAAACATATTAAAATCTAAATTTGATAACAAACAGAATAATTAGAAAAGGGAGAAGAGTTCATTCAACGTATGATAACTTCAAATGATTCTGCAGATATCAAGCCATTCCAAATTACTATTAGACCAGATACAGTCTCAAAATCCTAGGCGTCCACATTATTAGAAAACTACGTAATTTTTAGCGTTATTCTGCATATAAACAAGGGGTGAAATCTGTGAGACCCGAGAAAAGTAGTGAGATATCAAACCTGAGCCTGTTGGTCCCATTAGAAGAATGTTACTTTTCTCAAGTTCCACTATCTCATTATCTGTGCCATCAACTTTGTCACCATCTGTACTCCCTGCAGACCTAACTTCCAAGGTAAAACGCTAACATTAGACATTTTCATATCAAGGTTGACAGAAAATGCAGGAAAAATCAGCTTGGGCCAATAGCACAGTGCTTAGTTTCCCAAGATTCCCTTAAGGTCAGTCCAAAAACTTGAAATTCAGCTTGTGTTAGGAAACAATAGAAGCTAAGTGTTAGAAATCCATATGAACAGATATCTCCATCAAATGATATTCAAAGTTCAAACCGATCTTATGTACTGTGTGACAACTGCAGAAATGTCAAAAAAGTGAAATTGAAGGTTATAAAGACATTACCTTTGGGCGGAATCATTATATATCCTCTTGTAATGATTATAAACTGCCACAGAAAGGACCTGCAACAGTACATTCAAATTAACTACAATGACAATATCATTCTTCAATGTACAGCATATAATCCAAAACATAAAAAAAATTATCCTTCAACTCAGAACAACTAAAAACTCGAAAAAAATAACCAACCAAATAATCATTAAACTGAAAAAGATGACCTTTTTAGCTCTGTTCTGGCCAATGACGAATTTATCAAGCCCCTTACAGATTTCTTTAGGGGTCGGAAAATTCGGGCCAAAATTGGATCCACCCCAGTAGCCATCCTTGGAGCCCGACCCAAACCCACTACCAGTACTTGGCCCGTCCCCTTCACTAATCTGAATAAATTTGACCCCTGGACGCACTACAATTCCATCCGCTCCAGGAGGCTGCCAGACCTCCGGCGGGTCCCCTTGGGAGCTAAAGTTCTCGATTTTCCGCTTGATCCTAAAAGAGCTCGGAAAATTCCTCCGGGCACTATCGACATATTCGCCACGCAGAGAGATGGGCTTGAATGTTGTGAGGTTAAAGGGTGAACCTGAGATGAAATTATAATTGTTCAAATAATTATCAAATCCCGTTCTGGCGCTCCGTTGGAACAGGGTCGTCCGACCCGCGTGGATACGGTTCTGAATCAAATATCTGAGCTGTGAGGCAGTAAACGAAGCAGTATCTCGCGATGATTTTGACCTTAAAACAGCAGCCATGGTAGTATAAAAACAATCAACTTTGATAAAGAAAGGATTTTTGAGGTTTAGAGTGATAATTGAGACATGGGTTTGGAGGAAAAAGTGAAAATTTAAATGAGTTGTGATAAGATTTTAGATATTAAGGAACTTTATATGAAAATTTAGACGAGAACGAAAAGAAAATGCTGTGAACAGGGGAATTTTAGAGTTAATAGGGATAATCGGAAGACGGGTTCGGGTGGAGATTCAACGAATCTGTGATTTATTGATTTTTCCAGGAAATTTTACAGGGGAAAGGGTAATAAAAATTTTAGGCCCCTAATTGCCACATTTTCAATGCAGAAGGGACACTAGTCGTGAACTAATTTTATTTTGATCGTTTAATTGCAACGTGAAAATGGAAATTGAATTTCAAGATACAAATACTTTTAAGCTGCATTTTATTTGTTTTCATGAAAAACGAATTTCTATGAATTTTTATTTTTTAATTAACATGAAATGAGAATTCATTTCCACATTTGTCTATCAAACGGATTCTGAAGATTTCACGCTCAGAAAATATCAGTAAAACGACGACTTATTGACCTTGGAGACTCGGTGTTCCTACCAAGTTCTAAACTTTTGGCAGTAACTGGTTTGGAAGTTTTTGAGTGAGGACGAGATAGCACCAAAAATATCAAAAAAAAATTGGCCCCTCTAAAAAAATCAATGCCTGCCTAAAAGAAAACGAAATAAACCTTTGACATCAACACGAGTACATTGAATTGAACACGTTATTATGTTTTAATCGATATAACAAGATAAAATTTTATGAGAACCATTAATTGAAAAAATTCAACTTGTATTCAAAATTCTATCCAATCGCGTGATTGTGAGAGAGTGGATAGAGTTTCTTATTAGATATCTAATCTCAATATAGTGACGACTAAAACTTATCAGCTGCTAGACAATTTAGCAAAGTAAATATAGGGACGATTTCAAACTTCTACCATTGGCAGATATTCATTTCTAGTACATACATAATAGTCATTGTCACGTTGAACTGTAAAAACTTATAGTCACCACTCTCACAAGCTATAACTTCATTCTTTTGTATGTCAAAACTCTAGAAAGTTGATTTTTGAGATAATCTTGAATGTTTCTTTCTCTTGGATGATCAATGATACATCCAAGAGCGAATTTATTGGTAGGTCAATTTGATAAGTTAGATAGGGCAAAATCGAAAATATTAATTGTAATGTTCGCTTTCCGCATCAAGTTACACACGTTGCTTGACGTTACTACAAAATAATTTAAACTTTATATTTGAAACAAATGTCCTTGGTCCAAGAAAGAATTAGAATTGTATAATTCATAATCATTTTTAATAATACAAAATTAACTTTTCCCGAATTTTAAATGTATAAAACCACATGCTTAGAGCCCCTGCATGAATGATTCATTAGTGGGACAGCTTCTTCAATATACTTCAATGGTAGAAATGCACACTAATATTCGTACATGATATTGTATAGTATAGCCCGACATAAAGAAAGGTAGTTTTACAACAAATTAATTTACAAAATCGAAATTTAGAATTAACCCTGAATGCAAATATTTCACAACATGGTGCATGACACATAAGTTTACACAACTAAAGTTTTAGAAACTGGAATTTCTATCTCTGATGCTATGATGAAGCATGAATGCCTACCAAAATGTTTGAACATTTCTAGTTTGTATGGAGCAATGTGCTGAAACAAATGTACAAATGTTAAATCCTAAACATACATCAGCAAAATATGACTTTGAATAGGACAACAAAAGTTTGTCGGAGAATTTTATAGATTGTAAATGGACATCTCGATTCTCTGAAGTAATAATTCATTTCTCTATATTCCAGTTGTCCCTAGAGACCCTCGAACTACAACAGCTTGCCCCGGGTGTTGCCCTACTCCACATGGTGGACCATGAGAATTCTATTCATCAGCATACGGAGAAAGTGTAGCATAAGTAACAAGTACAGAATAAAGAGGGACAAAAAAGACTATCACCATATATCGGGGAAATCACAAATGCTCGTGGAGTAAAGAAATCCGATGATTTTTTTGCTCATCTTCGGGTGAAGTTACATCAAAAGTCCTCAGCGGTCTACTCTTTTGAATAAATTCCAGAATGTTATTTTTCTTGTATAATATCTCTAGGTAAAGAGGGTTGTGCTTGATATTTAAGGATGGTAGTAGCATATTTACAATGTTTCAACTGCTATACGTAATAGGTCCTTCAGTACATCAAATTCTAGGTGGTTCATTATTTTTACAACAATCTTAAGGAATGATCTTCTACTCTGATTAGATATTTTACTGAAAACAACAAATGAAATCAAGAGTAAATGGAACAGAAATTCAAAAGACAACATATCAAAGAGCACAAGAAATTTTACTTTAGTTGACATCAGATTTCTCGCTTTAGTAGTGGCAACACTTGCAGGAAAAACAACCAGCGTCTTCACCTGTGTAGAAATATAATTTTGATCACGATAAAACTAATAGACATAGATCATGGCTGCCATAGCTAAATAGAAAAAAATTGCTATTGTGCAATTCAAGTGCTTTTTCCTCAAAAACTACACACTTATATCAATCAATTCAAGTGCAATTCAAGTGCTTTTTCACGATTGCAATGCAAGATTCAATGTAGTAATGTTGCAGAAAAGATAAAATTTTTAGAGTTAAAAGTAGTAAATACCTCTAGTATATCTTTACACAATCTTAAAGAAGGATCTACTCCAATAAGATACTTTTCTGACGACAACAAAATCCAACAGGAATGCAGAAGACAACATATCAAAGAGCATAAGAAATTTCGCTTTAGTTTTGACATCAGATTTCTCGCTTCAGTGGTGGCAGCACTTGCAGCAAAAACAGCAAGCTTCTTCACCTGTAGCAAATATAAATGTGATCACGATAAAACTAATAGACATAGATCATGGCTGCCATAGCTAAATAGTAAAAAATTGTTATCGTGCAATTCAAGTGTTTTTTCCTTAATAACAACTACTTGTCCTTAAAATAATGATCTTGTGCTACTTTATTATGTCCTGACGATGAAAGCACTTTCACAAGTAAGTTAAAATCTAATGGGATATAATTTTGTGGGAGTTCATTTTTGCATTTGACTTGCTACATTTTTTATAAAGCAAAAATGATTAAACTTATCATTAATTTCTTTCCCTGTTTCCTACAAGAAAGTGACATGTCTTATTGTTTTTTGGCCTCTTTATACTATTGTGTCTTTTATCCTCTAACTTATTTTCTCAAAGGTGATTTGCTATTGTGATCTGCAGGTATTTATGGTTAGCAATTAGGAAGAGAACTTGATGGCATTTTACAAGGGAAACGGGGGACACACAGTGTTTGAATCCTTCGGACATATAACACAGAAGATTTGTCTCAGCATAGTTTGTAGCAGGGAAGCGCTTCCCATGTTATAGATTTCCTCCTATTGCATGTATATTATTTCACTCTGAATTTCTTAATAAACTGACATCACTCGGTATACCAAACTACATTACTTATATCGTGCAATTCACGTGCAATTCAAGTGCTTTTCATGTTTGCAGTGTGAGATTCGCAGCAACAATGTTGCCGAAAAGACGGAATTTTAGTGGGAGTAGTAAATGCCTCTAGTATATCTTGCTTAGGTCTATGATTTTGAGGTAGTATCCGAAACTCCTTTGTCAATTTCATACAAACCTGAGCAGTTTCAGGGGATACAAAGTCAATAGCAACTTTCGTGCAGGGTTGAAAAAGAACAGGGTAACAGTATATTAACCATTACGTCATTAATAAAGTGTGGAAAAAAATATAAACTTACAAAATGGTGATAACAAAATAATTTTGATGTGCATTTTTATTTAACCGTTGTGTTACCCCCCTCGTTTCGAGGGTTGAAGAAGGATGGCCACGTGGCAAGCCACGTGTAGGGCAGTCAGAAAAGAGCAGAGAGGGGACAACCAAGTGGGTCGGGAGTCCCGCGAAGGAAACGGGCCGAGGCCCTTCACCAATAAACAAATAAACATTTTCTGTA